TCTACATTATGTAGCTAGTGAAGGATTACTTGATGTCTTGAAGTGTATGGTCATGACCATCAATGGTCATAACATAACAGATAAAAAATATCGTGATACTAATGGTCGGACAGTTCTTCACTGTGCTGTTGAACACATAGGTGTTGTAAAGTACCTCATTAATGAGTGTAACTGTGATATAATGATCACTGATAAAGATGGTGTCCCTTTTCTTCATTATGTAGCTAGTGAAGGATTACTTGATGTCTTGAAGTGTATGGTCATGAACATCAATGGTCATAAAATAACGGATATACAATATCGGGATACTAATGGTCGGACAGTTCTTCATTGTGCTGTTAAACACCCTGATGTTGTAAAGTACCTCATTAATGAGTGTAAATGCGATATAATGGTCACTGATAAGGACAGTGTCCCTTTTCTTCATCATGTAGCTAGTGAAGGATTACTTGATGTCTTGAAGTGTATGGTCATGAACATCAATGGTCATAAAATAACGGATATACAATATCAGGATACTAATGGTCGGACAGTTCTTCACTGTGCTGTTAAACACACTGATGTTGTAAAGTACCTCATTAATGAGTGTAACTGTGATATAATGGTCACTGATAAAGATGGTGTCCCTTTTCTTCATTATGTAGCTAGTGAAGGATTACTTGATGTCTTGAAGTGTATGGTCATGAACAACAACGGTCATAACATAATGGATAAACAATATCGTGATACTAATGGTCAGACTGTTCTTCATTGTGCTGTTAAACACACTGATGTTGTAAAGTACCTCATTAATGAGTGTAACTGTGATATAATGGTCACTGATAAAGGTAGCATCCCCTTTCTTCATTATGTAGCTAGTGAAGGATTACTTGATGTCTTGAAGTGTATAGTCATGACCGTCAATGGTCATAATATAATGGATCAACAATATCGTGATACTAATGGTTGGACAGTTCTTCACTGTGCTGTTAAACACACTGATGTTGTAAAGTACCTCATTAATGAGTGTAAATGCAATATAATGGTCACTGATAAAGATGGTGTCCCTTTTCTTCATTATGTAGCTAGTGAAGGATTACTTGATGTCTTGAAGTGTATGGTCATGACCATCAATAGTCATAATATAATGGATAAACAATATCGTGATACTAATGGTCGGACAGTTCTTCACTGTGCTGTTAAACACACTGATGTTGTAAAGTACCTCATTAATGAGTGTAACTGTGATATAATGGTCACTGATAAAGGTGGCGTCCCCTTTCTTCATTTTGTAGCTAGTGAAGGATTACTTGATGTCTTGAAGTGTATGGTCATGAACAACAACGGTCATAACATAATGGATAAACAATATCGTGATACTAATGATCGGACTGTTCTTCACTGTGCTATTAAATACATAGATGTTGTAAAGTACCTCATTAATGAGTGTAACTGTGATATAATGGTCACTGATAAAGATGGTGTCCCTTTTCTTCATTATGTAGCTAGTGA